TTTGGGCATTCAACTCTTCTCCCTCTCTCTCTTGTCGTCTTTAGAGAAGTGTTTCTAAACTCAATCTAGCATTACATTAATATATAAATGTTTGATTATCATTTTATTAAGCTAGAATTTATTTGAGTTTAGTTTGATTTGATTTACTCTTTGTTTACACACACAACCATTGAGCTTATTGTATTTACATACATAGTATAATTTGAGGTTGTGGGTTTGTGACTAAGAGTTGTGCTTAATTGAGTTCTCATCTTGTTTAGAGAACAATCATTTGATTTATATTGTGCTTATTGTGAGATACACTTTGTAATACACTTGTACACCGAGAGGAGTGTGTGGTGAGAGTCAGGGATCGTCCCAAGAGGAGTGGCGTCGGTTGACGAACCTAGGGAAAAGTTGTAACCGAGCACTTGAGGGAGATATGGCTAGGTCCAACACTTGTGAGGGTGTAGAGTGGGTTTGCAAGAGTGTGAGTTGTAGAGTTTTCGGTTAGCTAGAAAACCGAGTGTGTAGAAGTTCCGGCTTCCAAACCGGATTGTGATAGTGGATTTCTCCCCGGGAGTGGGGAGCGGAGACGTAGGACGGAAGGTCCGAACTCCGTGATCATATTATGTGTTTGCATTGTTTATTTGCACACTATCACATTTGTAGTTTGATTATATCACCCTTGTATTAGTTTATATATCCTTGCATATATATTTTATCATATAGGATATATCTCATTTTTTACATTGCTTATCCTAGCTCATATATCTTATTGTATTTCATACTTGCTAGGATAACTCATTATCCCAAATCTCTAGTAAAACATTATATATGTGCATCTGTTTTTCTGCAGGATATGTTGTTAGTAAATATAACATATCTTTCTCTATACAATCGTTTTTTAAGATTAGTCTTCTGTTTTATAAACTAGATACATATATCTTTAATTTGGCACTAGTTTGGTTAAATTTAGAGTTTATTTTCTATTTCGAAATCTCAGTTAAACATGATACAATTGCTGCAGTTTTCTGCAGAAAATATTTATTTAGTACATCTCTTAAATTTCTCATATATAAATAAAATTATGAAAAATCCTAATGATCTTGATCATGATAATATCATAAACAGCAAGAAAAAAAATTACTAATCTAGCATTGGTTTATAATTTAACATTAAAAATTTAACTTTTATTACATCATGTTAAGATTCAAGCAAGAAAACACATATTCAACATCATATTAAACATCTAACTATTTATTTAACTATGGGGAAGGGCTTGGATGAAGATAATCTTACCTTAGACATCATTCTAAGCCTCTGAAATAACCAGTAACCAAAAAAAAGTACAACCAAGCCGTTTTTCCCTTGCTACACGTTGATGATCTCGCCCTCGTGTCGATATTTGCTTCACAAAGCTCTCAAAATTCTCAACTTTAGGGCTAGGGATTCAGAGAGAGGAAGAGAGGTTGCTAGGGTTTGAAACTCTGATGTAAGGATGTTAATTTTCATGAAAACACATGTTTATATATATGCAAACCCGAAATAAACCGGTTTGACCCGAACCAGAAATCCTAATCTGACTAGAAAAATAACCTTCGGTATTTTGGCTATAACTTTCACGTCCGACCTCAGAATGAGGTGATCTAAGACTTGTTGGAAATATATTGAAGATACCTACAACTTTTGTATTTTAAGTTTTTCCAAATTCTAACTACATATGTGAGAAAAATACAAAATCTCTTCACTGGTCATAAATTTTCAGATTTATACATCGAGCATGAATTGTGCATTTGCTCTTATACATCATAATATGTTATTTATAAATATATAACATATTTATTATTATTTATCACAAAATATTCAAATTTTTTTGGGGTTTTACAGATATATTTGTTAATAAGTTTTTAATTGGCATAAATCGGATTAAATTAGCATAAACCCTATTCACCCCCTCTAGGGTTCTTTTCTAGTGGCATTAGGGTGCTTTCATAGACCCCCTACTCTATCATATTTTTTAGATTAACCCCGAAAAAGTTTCTAAAGTTTATTAAAAGAACCCTCATTTCCCATCATTCTCTTCCTTACTCCTTGTCCTCTTTCCT